TTATCATAAACCTTTCACTCAGCTATCCATCCATCCATCATGTCCCCCACTCTCCAGACGTCCCCACCAAATGTCCTCAGTCAGATCACTCAGCCAGAGAAGGACTGGCATAAGCACTGTCAGTCAGAACCACCTGTATTCCCCTCGCTGAGAGCCCCCTCTTATGTTATATAAAGAGACACTTGCGATGTTACAATGAAGCATCAGTTGCTGTTGTGCAACAGAATCAAAAATACCTCTGGATCAGTGAGAAAGAAAGTGGAAAACAACAGAGTTATTCTGGTGGAGATAATACAATAACTGAGTCGTGAGTATTGTCGGTCACTTGAAGGTGAGCGCACAGACTTCTCACTCCTGCTTTATGTGTCGTGCCTTTGTGAGGCTGAGAGCAAGCAATTATCATATTTCTAAGAGATTTTAAATGATGTGCGCACATGCAGGGGCATTTATTCATGTCCATCAGGGTCTCTCAACACACAGTTATTATGAAGCATTAAGACAACATGACGCTTGAAAACAATTAACATCGTGTAATACTGTTTCACAGGAACAAACATGTAAGGATGGCAGAGAGGGGGCTGATGCTAGTGATGTGTCACTACATCGGAAAGACAGTTGATAATACAAATATAATGTCACAAACATCAAATATAAAAGAAAGTATTATCGACTGCAGTGTCTCTGGCAGAGAACCAATGTACTACATATCACAACCGTCAACTTCTGTCCCTGTCAAATTGATGATTTCACATTTCCTACTCTTGCAGCGCTAACGTGGTTCAGCTTTTTGCCAGAAACAGCTTGATCCTACACAGTGTTACGCATGTTGTAAACATACCTGGTTTACAGACACTGACTTGAATTCCAAACAGAAAACCAAACTAATGCTGCTGTTGGAGGTAGTGCTGTGCAGCTTTGTTAGTATAAATAATGGTAATACCACACTTGAAATCTTCCCAGCAATCCTCAAATATGTTAAGCTTTCAAAATTCTATTATCACATCTTCAATTGGGACTGTTTAGGGTTAAAACATAGACTCAAATATTTTTTATCTGAACCCACAAATCATTACATTACATTAATCCCCAAATGTACATCCTTTATTACTTAGTAAACAGCATATGGGATGCATTCTTTAAAGTATTCTCTAAGTAATTGTTAAACAATTTGTGTATGGTTGTAACGGTGCTGTGCTGATAAGGACAGCGAACAGTACATCAGGCCAATCTGTCCATAGAGAAGGATTATCTTGTTAATGAAGTGTGGAGTGGAGCCGCTGAGGGCCATGTATGTCACCAGATTCACTGCACAGTGGCCCTGTGGTTCCCTGCAGCTGTAAAACAATGAGGACATGATTAGAGTAAATTGCACTGCAGTTGTCAACCTCCCTCCTGCTTACAGCCATTTGATGTTATCTCTCTCTCTCATAAACAAATAGTCTCTCTCCAGTGCCCTTGCACACACACAGCAAACTTCCTCCTAACCTTCCCCACTCTCTCTATCTCTGTCTGCCAGTTTTTCCAATGTCAAGAGCCAACACAGGTACACGACCCACTAGTTACTAAGTGATTAAATGGTCGCTCTGCTGTCAACAGTCATGATGCAAATGGCAGTGTCTAACAAAATATACATGTAACTTTCCGATCCACATAGACATGCAGAAACATCACGTTACTTTTTTCTATTTGTTGTACGGAGATGCTTTCTGCAGCAGGCTCGAGGGAAGGCTAAACACCATCAAATACTGACTGCGACAAATGTGTGAGTGGAAACCAGAAAAGGCTTTTGTTCAAATGTTGCAGTCAAGGATAAACACCACTATGAGGGATGGCAATGAAAAAAAACATAAGACTACATTTCAAATAGTGCCCTAATCTTATTGTAATTTAATATTCCTATCAAGAAATGCATTTTATTCTGTAAAGCCACATTCTAATGCACAATCGCTATGTGCCCCACTATGAATGGCAATATTTGCTACTTCACTATCAAACTCTTAAAGTAGACCTCTTACAGGATGCTGCTGAGCATGCTTACTGATGCAGTTTAAGTATTGCCATTTGATGTGTTTTAAATATGTATTGGTCTGCAGTAGGGCTGAACGATATATCGTGTCATGGCGATAACCGCGATATGCGCATGCTCGATATTCACATCGCAGGGACGTGCGATTTTATGAATTTTTTATCATTTTTTTTTTTAGGACGTGCGATATTAATTAGGTACATTAACTCAAACACGTCATGTTACAATTATTTTGCTGCTTGCTACAAAAGGAAAACTTGCGCGGCTCTCATGTCAGGGGTACTTGAGTGAGTGACATGCAGGCTCTGCATGCACACTAAACCACCAATCTACAATCATTCTTGATCAGATCACAGCAGGCCCCGCCTCGCTAGTTTGCAGACCATCAAAACACCGGTAAAAAATGGGCGAGGCACAGGAGGACAATACCGGCGAGAATTAACATTTACTTCCAAAAAGATAAGCAACATCTGCCATCTGGAACTATTTTGGATACAAAAAGGTTCTTCTCTTCTTCATTCACAGATGAACCCCCTTATTTGAGGGTAAGCAACATGCATTATCATGACATGTTAGATCATGATATAAGATATGATGAGTCTACCAGTTAAGATCCAGACGTCTGTGACTAAAATCCTTCATCCGGTTAAATATAGTTAAAAAAACGCAATATATATCGCAGGGGGGAAAAATATTGCAATGTCAGTTTTTTTCAATATCGTGCAGCCCTAGTCTGCAGTATCATTCTTTGGCCTGGGGACATCATCTCTATCAGGCTTTGGCTGCACAGACCATTCTTGATCACAGAATAAAGTCTTGCTATCTTTCCATCTTTCATAACAATCAAAAGAGTAAACAAATGCCAACATTGATCTTATGAATGTATTTCATTAAAGTCATCTATGTACAGCAATGCTTAACACACAATTCTCAATGACAGACAAGAGCATTTTTTTCTTTTCCAATTATTATTCTGGCATAGCTCTGTGATTTCAGATTCATAACATTAGTTTTCTGATGAGCTACTTTAGGTCACAGCAATCTGGAAACGGTACTTACTGTACAACATAAGATTCTTGGAAACCTTGAGACAACCGGCTATTACAAACATCGTGCTTGAAAGCATCTCAAAGCATGAGCAGGTGTGAATCGTTGACACTTAATCATTGGTTCAGTAGAGACACATTTTAAAAAGGGCCAAAAGGATCCCTCCATGTGTGTACTGCGTTACATCATGACAGAATACGCTGAGCAACATGTCATCAAAATGATGTAAGGCAACATTTGGTCTTTTCTCTTATCTATAATAAAAGCAAACGTCATGCAACAAGTGCCACTTGCTCTTTTCACCCCTGCTGTCTTCATCATTGCAGATATTTAACAACTTGAAGCATCATACCAGAACAGGGAAAATCCATTCCAAGTACTCAAATGTTTTTGCTCCTCGATGTGGAACTGCGAGAAATAGCTTTCTGCTTAAAGGGGCACATGGGAGAACAATGGTGGTGGTGTGTGAAATTACATAAACTGAATTAACAAGCCCATATAAATCATCACATTTGCACCTACAAACACACACAGACACACACGGTATAATTGTGCACAGAGATAATTAATTCAAACATTTAAATTATACACACACACAAGAAGAACTGTGCCTCTAAATGAGCCAAGTGATGTAGAAGCCATGAGATGCTGCGTGTCTCCCTACGTTAATAGCACCATCAGTTATAAGAAGAACAGGGGAGAGCAGCAGGGACGAGAGATGATACAATATGTATGTGTTAATATGAAAAAGTCAAGGAAAGATGGATGATTGAGACAGAAGAGTAAGTGGAGAATATAAAAGGGAACTCAAAGCACCTGTCTAAGGTAAAAAAAATTGAGATAAAACAGACCTTGAGGTAAAAGCAGAAGGGTGAATAAAGGAGAGAAATGAGAAGTATTTCTGATATGTGAATTTATGTGCGAGGACAGTAACAGAATTTTTGAATTACATCATAAGACAGATCCAGATGCAAGAAGGCAGGGCTACTTGGAGGGATGTGGGCTAAAAGAAGTGGGACACAAGACATACAGAATAATAGTGGGGGGTTTTGTGAAAAATAGAGATGGAAGGGAAAGAGATATAAATCATGAGTAATTAGAGATGATGGGTGGTTAGGGCAAATGGAAGGAGGTGGAAGGTAACAACTGAAATTTTAAAAAGGGAGAAAAAAATGAGTGTGGGGAGGAAACAATGGGTGCAGGGGGAGACGGGGAGTGAATGGGGAAGAGGTATGAGACGAAAGGAGGGGGTGAGGCGTGGGCGGGTGCAGCAGAGGCTGATAGACAGCCAGGAATAGAAGTCTAATTAATAGTCAAAAACTGCAGGCAGGCAGGTGTGGAGAGAGAAGCACAGCTGGAGGGAAGAAATGTAGTGATGGATGGCTTCCTATTCTACCTATTCAACAACACAGGCAGCTTCACACACCATACTACTGTTTATCACATAGAGATAAAGGCAGAGTCGGCAAGGGAAAAGGGGGGNGGGGGGGGGGGCAGGGGGGATATGTGGAGTGAGAGGTGTGAGGATTGGACACACAAGGGGGGACATAAAAACAGAGATTAAGCTGGACAGAGAGGAAGAGAGAGAAACTCATTATCTAAGGTGAGAAGAGGGTCTCCTCGGGAGTGGGACGTGAATAGATAGATTAGCTCATGCACACTCCTGTCATTTCTCTGTGAGAGGAACGTATTAAAGTTAAACCGCAAACAAAGTTTAATTACTGAAACGCCTTAGCACACAGCCACGTCCCTCACAAACATGGTTCAGCAAACACAGTCCCGACCTTGAAAGTTTGCCAGGGTGCGGTTTAAACCACATGTCTGACAAAGACAAACATGAATATGCACTTTGCATGCAGCTCCACATCCAACAGCACAGTGACAATAGCCATCAATCGTCTACTCTCTCTGTCCATCTAAGTCTCACCATGTGTGTGCGACAGTGAAGCGCCTCTGTTTGTGGGTGTTGTTGTTGAGCAGCATGCGGCGAAGCAGTCGTGGCGAGTTGCGGGGGGAGAGGCGGGGGGAGATGGAAGACGGTGATCGCCGTTGTCCTCTTGGCCTCTCCGGCTGCAGCAGGTTTTCCCGCAGAATTTTCACCAGGTCTTCATTCAGGCCGGAGTGCTTGGGCATGGGGGGCACTGCCAGGGTGTCCTGGAGGGTCACCCCCATGCCTGCCTCCTGGGCCATGCCTGCCCCGGCTTCACCACCAGCACCACCAGCACCAGCCAGAGGAATGGACAGTAAAGGCAGCCAAGATATACGAGGAATAAAGAAATGCAGGCGCTAATAAATGCTTCTCCTGTCAGAGTCCAACAATTTCCTCAAAATGTAGGAAAAATGATAAAATAGGAAAAATAGACACATCCAAAAATCCTCTGGATGATAAACTGAAAAAAGATCTGATGGTAATTCCTCACACCAGCAGATCCTTCAGTAGAAATGCAGGGAATATAAAAGAGAAGACAAATCCGTATTCCCTTTCTTCCTCTCCGTCGTTTAAGGGGCCAGCAGATGAACAGAAGCACTGAGGATGGCTGCCTTTGCCTGCTCTGCAACACTGGATGTGTGCTGTGGAAGTGCTAGAGAGAACATGAGGGGAGGATTGAAGAAGGAGGGAGGGAGGGCGGGATGCAACAAAAAAAAGGGAATTCCGTCTATTCCAGCTCTGCCTCCCCAGGCCTGCATGCAAACTCAACACAGTCCAGTGGAATACAGCTCAGCAAGAGTTTAGCTGAACTAATTCAGTCTCCTCCAGTCCAAAACATCCCAATCTGATAGAAGCCAATAGGGACTATGAGATGGTTACCCATTAAAAACCCCAGAAGCGAATCAGTGTTGAGTTCCGTTCCATCTAGTCGAAGCACTTTATCCTTTCTTCCTCCCCCTCCACAGAGAGACTGACTGCTGACAACAGCCAGTTTATAAGCTACTGATCCTTTGGAGCAGAGCGTGTGTGTGTGTGTGTGTGTGTGTGTGTGTGTGTGTGTGTGTGTGTGTGTGTGTGTGTGTGTGTGTGTGTGTTCACACAATGGGTAGAAGGAAAACAAGGAGGTACGAGGAGAGCTATGGTAAGCTTCAGTAACACTGTACAAAAATGATGTATGTATGCATGCGCTTGGGAGCAGAGGCACATGAATCTTTGAGGGTGCATTTGTCAATGCAGCAGACTGCACTAAAAGCACCCATTAGTTATTGAGTAACCCAGACTCCATTCTCAGCTTGAAAGGATATCCCAAGGAACAGCAAATGATGCCATGGGTGCACACTGTATGTGCGCATGTGCACATATTTGCATTTTCATTTTACTAGCATTTGCACATACGCAAGAAAAAATAGGAGGGTTTCGTGCAACGAACGTCATCAATCCTCCGTCTTCTGCCACTCCCTTTCACTCTATTAGGTTTTCAAATGAAGGTAGACATGCTGGTAAATATGGAAGCATCATCCGCTGAATCTCATTTGCTACTCCCTAGCCTTTTCCCTCCTCAGCCTAGCAACCAGCAGCTTATCTGGAATGCAGAGTACCTGCCTCTAACCAGCTTTAAGTCGTTCCACTTTCAACCAAAAGCTGCCTCTCTGTGACAACAATTTTACTGTACTATTTTTATATATTATCCACTTCATACGAGTGCCCCACAGCAACACATCATTTATTTATTTCTATGAGTAATGTTAACCTGGCCCAGCACCAAACCTAAAGAGTCACATTTTAAGCATTTCTCATCAAGGCTATTCATTGCTGAATAATCTCAATATAAATTCAAAACAACTAATTACTTAATGAATAGACTATCTTTGCATATTGTGCATTTACAGAAACTAGTATGTTGGAATTATTAAGCTGCATCTTAACAGTAAGCTTCCTCATATCAAGGCACTTCAGATTTGTAGTAACAAAAAAACGGTGAAATGGCACATCAAACACGATTGTGGATCTCTCTCACTACAGTTAATATTCCTGAGGGGAAACACGCTAGCTGCTCTGCACAGTGGCACCACAGCAGTGTTGTAACCTTAATGCTGTGACATTGTTAACAAGCTGTTGTTTGGGAGGCATAATGTCACAAAGTTTAGCTGGGGCTTGTAGGCATGTCATTAGTTTGGGAGGTAGCATGTTTTGCCGGTGTCGAGACACCTTAACATTCAACAAAAAGTGTCAATGTGTTAGCGGCACTAAATCAAAATGTTTGAATTTTTTTAGGGGTAATCAGCTGGATTATGTTGCCGATGTACAAAGGCTAAGTCCTTTGCTGCATGGATGTACAGTTTAATGGCACCCCGTTTATCCTCAAGCATGCACGATTGTTTATAGTCTGTCTTGCCGCTATGACGCTTTAAAATAATAGTACACAAATGAATAGAGGCCAGTTCACCTATTTTACACAGACTATGGTTACAACCTAGCAGTCATTCACAAATACACTATAAACAGGGCTGCACATAACTGATGCGCACCTCCGCCAAAAGGCGCATTTGCGTACCAACATTGAGAGAGAGAGAGAGAGAGAGAGAGAGAGAGAGAGAGAGAGAGAGCGGTGCCAGCAGGGACCGTGAGGCCTTGACGTAACAATATTCCTAATTAAGTAATGATAACACCCTTTTCACCCCGGTACACTTTTCATTTGCCCGTTCGTTGGGCACTGTAGTGATGAAAGGGGGATGTATGGCTTATCTGGCGCCCGCAGCTCACAGCCAATGCGAGGGAAGAGGGTGAGAGAGGGAAAGAAAAATATGGGCTAGCTGGCTCTACACGAGATATAAGAAGAAGATGCCTTCTCGTGTACAATATGTTGGAGGGAGCAGTCCTCTCAGTCAGCTGAGAGGCTGATAACTCCAGCTCATGTGAGGGGTTAAAGGACTCTGAGGGTTAAGATAGTTCACTTTACCGTCTAAGTTTCTCAGGAGGGTCTCAAACGCGGTTTGTCCAATTCATATTAACACACAATATTTCCAAGGCAACTCCTTATTGGGATAACACAGGTTTGAAATCATTTCAATGTATACTACAAGTTATAGGACCACTTAGGACGGTCACCAAAAATATCCTTTAAATTCTGGAGGATAAAAAAAAATGCAATCAATAAATAATGTTATAGGTAAAATAAAGTTGATGAAACAACAAACATAACATAAGTTACATTAATTGTTATTGGCTATGGTAGGTTATTGGTTATAGGGTTATGTTCACATACTTATTTGATCCTCCCTCACTTGTCTTAAGTGTCAACAGAGCTTTCGACCCAAACACCAGCTATTGACTGTGGATGCAGCAGACTAATCGCGACTACAACAGAGAGAAAGTAGGTAGGCCTACATCATCAGCTCCATGTCTGACAGAGAGGAAGCATGCCGGCGGGCATGGTCTGAAGCTAGACCAACACCACTGCCTGATCCTCGCCGCCGGCACACAAGCAGCGGTTTGATTGGCTAGAGCTTGTACTGGCATTGATTCAATTGGCTGGCGGCTTCCGTCGAAGCTTCAAACAGTAGAACATTGCAGTTACTTTTGCAGGAGCACCGCAGGAAAGCTCGCTTTGCTCCACAATGGCAGTTCGGCCGAAGTGTGACGTCCCCCATTCAAAAGTGAATGGGCAGAAGGTTGACGCGTCAACGTACGCCGCCGTGTGTATGGGGCGTCACTATGAATTATGAAGGGATATCTTATGAGAAGAACCAGTCAGGAGGGTAGTGATGACAGCTTGTAGGATTATGGTCGTGCTAATGTTTGTTTGTGTTCACCCTCTGCATGTGTGTTCTGTTTTCACCTCTGCATTTGTGTTCATGTCCGTGCTGTCTTGCAAATAAAAGGGGCCCCTCAAAGTTACGGTTTATTTAATTTTAAGGATGCGCACAAGGCAACACCTCCAGGTGCTCCTTTGAGAACAGGGCAAAAAAGTTATGTGTACCCCTGACTATAACCATCTTTTTAGTATTCATGTTTGCAAACCAACTACCTTACTGCGTCCCTCAGCATCACCAGTAACACCCTTTATCAACCCCAACCACTCCACAGCGCAATCTTCTAGTAAGGAGACCACCATTAAGCATCACCTTGGATCCATTCTTGTATAACTACTGCACACACTTTTGGTAAGTATCAACAATAGCATAGTATTGAGCAGTCACATAAATTGCCCTCGAATAAAACCATTTTAAATCACATTTGTTGCACCTATTTCTTTTCAGACAGAGTACTTGTATCTTCCTTAAAAAATTGAATCCTCAGTAGTACATGTAGGGCATGGGTCGGCATAGGGGCGGCCCGTGGCCATTGGTGCCGCCAGCAATAATAAATTTTTTGGACCGGACAAATTATTTTTGAGAATAAAAATGTAAAACAGAAATTAGATTTTTTTTTGTTTTTGGTTTTTGTTACAATATCGGAACGACAGTCGCACATATAGAGGCTATGAATGTCCGAATAGACAATCTACCTACAAACCTGAAGAATGCTTATTGTACTTGATCCATGTTTGAGAGTGAATGACACACAGCACAGGCACAATCTGACAGTGGTGAACCGTCAGGGCATTTCAAGGTATAATACCCTGGAACACTCAGGATAAAACAAACAAAAATCATTTAATTCTTATAAATAATGTAATACAATGTAATTAAATGAAGAATCGTATCTGTGTTGATCTGTAATATTACCAGTGTTACTTTGATTGTTTGTCCTTTCTCTGGACCATGCACTGAACGCATTTCAGTGGTTGTTGTTTTGATACAGAAAGCGAAACAATCAGATCTTGTCTGGGGTCTCTGGGTAGATATTCTACCTCAACCCAGGGTATTCTACATCCTTGATAGACATGCCCTGGGGCCGGTTACCACTGAATCCGAGAGCGTACGTTTGGACTGACAGTACCTGATCAACCAATCATAATATTAGACTTTGTTGTACCCCCAACCATGGGCGTATTCTTTCAGAGTCTCCCTCGGGTCCAGGGGCTTATTCTCAGAAGGCCCGCTAGTTTAACTGGGCTCGAGACAGATGGATCTTGGATCAGTGGTAATAAATTCAACTATAAAATTCACCAAAAGGTTCCAGTTAGAGAGAAATCTCCCATTATACAAGGTCCAGAACATCAAAATGTCTAAACTTGGCTTTATGAAATATTAGTGTGATATATATAGTTTGAAGAGTAGCGCTGTAGCTTTATCACGTCTGCATGTAATCAACAAACTGACTGCCAATCAAATAAGAAAGTACAATGAAAAAACAACAATATTTATTGTAAATTAACATTGAACTAATACAACAGATAATACAGTAAAAATACTGTGGATATGTAATGTTCCCTCTCGGGGCTGCATTTAAAAATTAAAATAACGAGAAATATACATAAAAATAGCTTGAAAATTGTGTGGCATCTTAAAACCTGTTTAACGCCCAAAGGTCCCTGTCGGCGGGTACTTTACTTTTTTGTTTCACGACACTGTGTCCTCAGGGGGATCTTAATATTTAAGAACCTATTAATGTGTTATACCCAGATTACGGAAATAATCTCAGGCACTAACTGACGATACAAACAATTTTTTACCAAACAAAAACACAAGTCTTCATAGAAGCATCTAA